TGGAACTAACCCCAATAAACATCACATTGCCTGCACTTCGGACTTCTGGTCTTCTGCTTGCTGTCTGCGTGACAAGAACCAGGGGAAGGGGTGAAGGGAAAGCCCTCTAACAATAGACTCCTAGTGGGATTTTCAAAAGTGTGTAAGGAGGTTGAGTGTCTGACTCCCATTAGGCACCCAAATATCTTTGAAAATTGGGCCTTTAGTGTTTAGCACACAGCTGGTGCTACAGTACATAATGACCGATAGAAGAGCATTCTACAGAAACTCCAACTGTAAGTGAGATCCTTATGTATCCAAAAGTGGATGGCGCTCAAAGGAACTCCTTCTAGACATATCTGAATGAGTGAAGAGCAAATCTCAAACAGTTTGGAGGCTTGGTTGGGATAAGCCAAACTACTTATTAGGGAACAAATCTTTACTGGAGGGGATAGACCAGTTAACTTAATATGTCGCTCTAATTTCTAGCTAAAATTTATGGATAACTTTAAGAGTCTCCCTTCCTTCTCTGTTCTCTTTCTCGCTACCTCCAGATTTGCCTTTTCACCCAAACCTAATCAAAACCTTAACTTTCTCTTTCCGTTGCTGCTTAAATGCTCACAGTAACTCAAATGCTGATGGCTGCTCTACGTTAGTGTATCCACTGTTGGTGACACCAGTAGTAAAAATGACGGGACATTTTAGGGAAAAAAGTCTAGTATCCACAGTGCCGATGGGGTTTGCACAGGTGCTGGGGACAACACCATTTGGCCTGCCAAACCCTGGTTATGTTAAGAGGGACAGAATGCAGGCAAGCCAAAGGTGAATGTGTGGGGCAACATACCTTTTGCTGGTAAACTGAATAAATTTGATACAGAAATCAAAGGGACATGATGAAAATACCATCCCATAAAGGGTCAACTTGAGTAGCTTTGAGATCTAAAGACTGGGCCAGTTATATTTTCCCCATGCCCCTATTTTTCATAGGGCTTCAAAAGTTCTTCTAGAGAAAATTAGACTTCTTAAATAATTAGCATCCTGTTTGCAGTCTCAGCTGGGTATATAAGAAGGGGCTCCACTAAGGAAGGGCATGTTTACTGTGAATGGTATTCCAGGGGTGTAAACCGCTCCACATAAAGCTGTTTACAAACCAAAAAATGGTATATATAGTATTAGTAACACGCATCTGCATGTATCTGACTGTCAGTTCTGTATCTCCAAGTAAGTCAGCAATGTACATTGTCTAATAAAACAGCAAGCTTTTTTAAAAAAAAGTACATCTTAATATAAATAGTTTATTCAGTGCATGATTGTGTGTACAACAAATAATAAACAACTCTTTTGTACAAGGCAGACAACTGCTTGTACAGAACGATGTCAGGTTTGGAGCACAGAATCCAATGATGGTTAATGCACAAAATCTTACACATCATGCAACTCTATGCCAATATTCCAACTTTCTCCCATGCAACAGATATGATGACCTAAATGGAAACCTAACTAAATTTTTAAACAGTTTTTCCAATAGCATGTATGAGTATATGTTGTTTAGGGGTAACCTGTCCTAACGCTTCCTCCTACACAAGAATCACGTGCCCATTACAGGAAAAGAAGGACTTTTACAAATAAGACATTTCTTATAAAAAATTAAGTCACCTTAATTCCACAGTTTCTGTCTTTAGAAAAGACGCCACAACAACAGTTTAACATGATACACAAAATGGAATTAAGATAAATCTACATTGGAGGATAATTTTATCCCTTTACGTTATCTTCCACTGACGCAGGTTAACAAAACAACTCAATTCCTACAGACTGGGGTCAGCACAAGAACTTTACCAGAATGCTACAAATCTATAAAAATTTATATTTCAGTGTGTTTAAAATCACAAGAACACTGTTTGCTTGAGCCTGAGACACCGACTCTCAGTTCCAGCCCTGAATTTATTGTTGTTGTTTTTTTAAAGACACAGCTTTAAAGGCCCATTTGAGTTGAGAAATCAAAAAGTTGCACTAATCCAAATTAAAGGATACCTTTGTTATCAAGCCTTAGATATAAAACAGTAAGCCAAGAAAACAACAAAGTTTACATTTTTGTTGTTTGCCCCTATAAAACATATAAGCGTTAAAATTTCCTTTGAAGAGCAAAAGTGGTCTTTTTATTTCTTGGTTGGAAAGCAAATTCTTAGCAGTGAATGCTGTGAAATGTTTTTGTTTAGTTTTCCACAAAGCATAGGAGAGAAAAAAGAGAGAGAGAGAGAGAGAGGAAAAAGAGCTGGACATTTCTTCTCTGAGATTTATTCCACAGTTATGTTTTGCTGGCTATCCCGGTGCCTTGTGATATGCACACGCATCTTCTACATATTTGGGATATATCCTTTGACAACCAGATGATCTAATGGCTGATAAACGAGTGACCTATGCAAGTTCGGCGGCTTGTCCTGAACAATTGAACGGTTTGGATGAAAGACTGCGAGTACGAATTCAACGGCATCCAGCGGTAAGGTTCCATTTACAGAGCACTTGGCCTGCCTTAACCTGGCTACGTTGATTCATTTTGACTCATGGATTTCCCTCCATTTAACACTCCTGAAACACTTCTGCTTTTTGTCGGGGTCCCACTTCCAGATCTTGAAAATTCTGTGAGATCGTGAAGAGAAGGTTCTTTGTACATGGCCACTGAAAATCAGAAAGAAATAGCAGCACATCAGAACACTTTATAGGCTGTTACTGTTGCCTCTGTTCTTGGCTATGCAATTTCAAGGGCTAATTAGACCTTTTCCTTCAATAATAAGTAACATGGGAATAGTAAAAGAAATGTATTCACTACATGGATAAGATCATTAGGAGATTTCTCTTTTTCTACATGTAAACACTCATAAAAAGAGGATTTCAAAGGTTCATATTAAGGGGCAAAATATTAGAGGCACTAGCTAAAATATGCACATAACCACTTTCTCTCTGCAAAATTCTGTAGGCTAGATTTTCACGGGTCGTAAATCAGCCTAGCTCCATTGACTTCGATGGATCTGACTCAACATTTGTGCACATGGTCCAGGTAAATGACCACAAAAACGAACCGTTAAGTTTTCTATTGCATGCACAAATGCAGTTGTTTTGTAGGTGCACTGGATTCTGCTGAGAATCTGGCCCTAAATATGTAGACTGTAAAGCTAGACTAGACATAGGCTGAAATGGCCTTTCTATCCATCCAGGGTGGTGCATCTTGGAGATAATCTCTATGATTTCAAAATGGCATTTGCCTTAAGAGGTTACTCAAATAAACCTAGGGTCTAAGACAAGGTATCATCTGTGTCTCACATGCATCGTTTTTAATGTTTGGGTGCTGGTCCATATGTTTAATAATTGTGTAGTAGAGATAAAATGTTACCATCTGAATATTATACCATTAATAAACATTCCTGAAGCGTAAAACAAAGTGTGACATGATACATCTTTCTGCTGGTTGCCAGTTGTACTATCTAGGTGAAATCTTTATGGACTGTAATGGACATACTGGGAACTACCAGTACAAATGGGTTAACATATGTATTTGAATACACAAAGCAAATTAATATCACAATATGTAGTCAAATCTGAAAAAGTAGCTCCAATTACATTAATGGTGTGCTGCAGGATGTTACATTTCCATTATGTAAATGGTTCAACACTTAAAATGTATTTTTTGCAATTAAATATTTCTGATATAATGTAACATCATTTCATAGTAGTTGGGAAAACTAAAGAAATTACCTTTTAAGGGTTTTGGAAGAAAGTGTGCTGCGGGTTTATTTTTCTTCACATGGTTTCCTTTCATTATTTCTCCTTCTTTGTTAAGACCCAGATACCAACCCCTGCCAGACTGTTGCTGTCTGTAGATCATTGAAGAATACGTCACATAGTAGTTTTCAAATACCGATTCTTTGAACTTGCATTCAGGTGTGAAATGTTCCTGGAAGAAAGTAACAGATCAATGCCTGCAGCGCTGAATTGCACATCAGTTAATACAAGATGATTTGATATTCATTGCCTTTCAGATGGTTAAAAGACATACCTTCCCCATCCAATTATGGAACACTGGCCCTAAAAATATGAACACCAGAGTAATACAATTTGAAACCCGTGGAAGAGTGCAGAGAGCAACTCAAAGAAGCATAATAAAATCTTGCTGCCCAATGAGTAAACTCAAAGTGAAGAATTATTGATCGGTGAGAGTCTCTCTGTACTTGCTAGTAGCATGCACAATGACAATATAAACCAGCCGTGAACTACTGAGTGTTTAAAGGAGAAAAGTCCGGTAAAAATTCCAAGCAAAGATGCAGTGAGTAAATTGGTCTCTTACCAACCACTTGATGTTAAATTAGCTTATAGCAGCTACCTTATGAAGTCTAAATTATTGATACCCTTTGACAAGCACAGCATATTACATGCTGTATGTCCTTGAAGCCTGCGATAGCTATTGGAAAACCAGTCTGTGAGATCAGGCTCTGTTCTGAGAACCATGCAGCACCTAGTTACAATGGCAAGGGTTAAAGATGAAGCATTACCTTTCAGTTTGAACTTCACTGCTTTGAAAGGAATGATGGGGGCTAATGGTTAAAGCAATGAGCAAGACCAGAGTTGCCTAGTTTGTAATCCTGGCTGAGGGAGTGACTCTCATCCTGTAATTCTGGCTGAGTCAGTTAACCTCTTTTTGGCACCAGAGGCCAAAGAGTAACAAGAAGGAATTGCACTGGAAACTGGCAACTGAGCTGTCGAAGATAAATACACGGTTTGCATCTATCTGCATGGTCCTAGGCTCTCTCCTTGTTTCTGGGGTGGAGCTCTCCTCCTGCATGCTGATGCCCTGAGCAGAGGGGCTGTCTGCCAGCACAGAGCCCTGCCTCTTCAGTGCACTGGACACCCACGCCTCTAAACTAACTGCCTCAGGAGACGACGGGAAGGTCAGCACATAATAATAAACCTCTAGCCAGGCATCAATTCGCAGTCTACTCCCCAGCAACAGCCACGCTGCCTAGCAGCCTGCCCTCTGCCCAAGTCATACAAAAGACTAGGGAGGGCAAGAGAGTGAGGGGAGGCTGTGCCGTAGTCCATCCCTGTACGGCTTTCCCAGCAGGAGTCACTGTGTGGCGGCAGCGTAGCGCAGGCCTGTATTTTTTGTGCAAAACTTTAATTTTTTAATCAAAATTGGTCATTTTTCAAACAAACATTTTCATGTTTCTTTTCTAAATTCTTTGATTTTATATTTTTGACCAAAAAATCCCCCAAACCACAATTATTGTGTGTGCTCCTCCCCTTCCGTTCTCTCCCTTTTTGCATGGCAAAATGGAAGAGGGGAAAAAAGTAAAAAAAAAAAGGGGGGGGGGAAAAGAGAAGAGGGGGGGGGGGGAGGAAAGAAAATAAAACCCTTTTTTTTTAGATTTTATTTTTTTGTCAAAAAATTAGAAATTTTGAGACGGCCAAAAAATTTCAACATTTTTGGTGAAACGTGACCTCTTTCGACCAGCTCTAGTGTACAGTGATATGTGATGACGGCAGAAAGAGCTGTCTTATTCACAGTAAGACACACAACTCCACATTGTACCCACATAAATAAGTGGCCTGATGCTCGGAGGTGCTGAGCATGAAGTACTGGGGTTCAGCCAAACTTGTGAACTTTGGCTTAAATCTATATCTACCCAGTCTGGCTCTCTCTCTCTCTCTCTCTGTGACTCTCACACTCTCCAGTCTCTGAGAATAATGAGAACAAAGATACAGGTGGGAAAGTAAAACTTGGAAAGTAAAGCCTTGAACTGCATCACTGAAATCACTGAGAGCTCTCTTAATTCGAGGGGTGCAGGATTAGACTTTATGCAAACAAAAATGCATGATTCAATATTTTTTCCCAAGGCAAAATAAGTGATATGATCATTAGTTTTAAATCCAGCATTAATTAGTATGTCCAAGCTGTATCAATGAGCAGGGGCACACTTTCTTTCAGTGTTGACCACTCATGTGCATCATTGTAGCTACTGTAAGACATAACTAGGTTCAACACTAAGATCCATGCTGTAGTTGTAAACAATACCTAAGTTCAACAGTAAGAGCACAATTTTCACAATATGCATCCCAAGGTCAACACAGGAAGTTTAAAAACAAAAAATTAAATAGTTTCCCACAGTCTTTTCCAGGTTTATGAGCCTATTCCACTGCAAGCCTACCATTGGCTCCTTCGATCTTTTCCAGAGAAACAAGTCACTGATTTACCATCCTCCAACAGCTAGGATTTGTTGTTGTGAGTAATTTGCATGTTGGTGGAAAAGCAACAGTGTTTGTTTCCATCTCTTCATGCATAAATACCTGCTTCACAAATGCAAATTCTTTTCACATAGGTTATAGCAAAATATCACTCATCCTTTAAAATTTAGATCCTTTTTTCAGTTGTCACATTTTTTGTGCGTTAATTGCCTTTGTTTTTTTTTAACAGTATTCCGAAACGAACAATACAGGGGAAACTAACTTCCCTGAAGTATATGGGAGTAGAAACTGTGGATGAAATCCTTGACCCATTGACTTCAATAGGGCCAGGATTTCATCCTATGAAATAAAGGGGTGGTTTTGTTTTGTTTTGTTTTTTAAATCACTGCTCAATGCATCCTAGTGGCCCATTAGTCCCTAGCATAGTTGGATATATTTTAGAACTGACAGGATAATCAAAATTATAAATTGATGAGCTATGACATTTCTGTTTAAAAGACAAAAACATTTGTAAGCTTCTAATGAAATCAGTAGGAATTTAGATTAAGAACTGCAACTGATGCATGTGTTTTGAAAACAGTTTTCAAGCAGCAAACCCATGAGGTATTTACTCTGGAGTTATAAATCCCTTAAAGCAAGGGGTTTATAATAGAAACTCTAATGCAATTTTAACTATAGTAGTGATGGCTATTGTAAAATGCCACTGTATTTTTCCTAAAATTTCTGAGTTTAATCTTGCTTGCCTTCCTTATATGTGTAGTCTCGTAGGCTTCAACAGAGTTATTCGTGTGCATGAGGATTTGACTCTAATTATGTCAGTACTGTAGTAAACACAAGCAAGAAATAAATTGTGAAAGTATCTTGAGGGTAATTTTGGTTTAAAAAATCATAGGAAGTAAGAGGCTTAAATTAAATGAGTCAGAGCTGGACCCAGTTTCTTGAATATTCCTTTCATAGAAAGCGGTGCTATTTTAACATTCCTCTATAGATTTGTACTACATCCTTTTGCCCTCGTGTCTTTGTGCAGGCGAAGGAACAGAATTCAAACCCAACCGATTGGCAGTCGCTTTAACAAAAAGTGCACAGTAAGCAATGTCATCCCTGTTCCTTCATGTTAATTAGTTGCTATTTAGTTAATTGACAGTCAGCTTCAATCACTAACAAAGGGGGCCAGTCACTGTATTTTATATGATTTCCAACTAAAACCTTTCTACCGCATTACTCCATCCATCGCTCGCTGTGTTAATAAGGAATATTGTGAGTATATCATCCAATTAAGAGCAGTAAAACAGAAAACTGCAGTGGGCCACTGAATGATTATGGCTTATGTACAGTAATTTGCAGCTGTTTACAAAAGGCTTGCTGTATTCAGTGATGGAGGTTCAGATTAGGAACCGAACCACAACATTTGCACTCCCTCTCCCCCTCCCAAGAAGCCAGTTGATTTCAGAGTGCACTGCTGTCACATGGAGTGGCTACACTTGGCAGTAACAAGGAAGCAGGTATCCCCTCCCTTCACTCTCCCCCTCCCCCCCAGAATAAGTGTGTGACATTCTCACCACAGGATTCGTCAAAAGGCTGCAGTGAGGACTGATACGCTCCCCGCACTTGGTCTGGCGTGACAGAGGATAAAGGGTGGATATAGAAAGGAAAACATTCTAAAAAGCCTATTTCACCCTTGATTTTTCTTGGCTTTGTTGCTCCGGTAACAAGCTATGCTTGGTGCTATGATGCAGCTGAGAGCCCTGTTAATGCCAGACATCCCTTCGACGCTGGTGCGCTGCACAATGCCGTGGTAATTCCTCCCCCTCTCGCAGGAGGCAATCCCTTTACCTGGCTCCTCCAGATACTCAATGGTCACTAACATGGGTGTGCTGTTTTTTGAAGGTGAACGGCGTCCACCATGTCTACTCTTCTCCCTCACGTGCTGGGCTACCACATCAGTTTTCTTTTCATTGTTTTTTCCAGCTTTGGAAAAGACGGCGCCTAATTTAACTGACTATTTTGGCATTCAGTCATGCTTCTCTGGCTTGTCTAACTGCTATTCTTTCCGAGCATGTCGCCCTAGCTACTAAAAGACGAGACGTACATGCTGAACGGCTTTGTCTTTTTAAACCTCTATCTGATGTCTCATATGCTGTTTGTGGCGGCAGATGTTGTGTTCTTTCAGGAACGCAAAATGGTGCATTTAACACAGTTTATTTTTTACAAGTATTTGTTTCCATCAATTCAGTTTATTAATTAATAATACCTACAAGCTTCCTGCCTGCTTAAAAAGGGGGAATCTTTGCAGTAGGAATGCTAAATAGCTGTGCTTCTCGCAAGCAGGTGTTTTATTGGTATAACACAAGGCTAGAAATATTTAGCAACAGAGCGACTAAAGCAAATACCAACACTGATAACTCCCCCTCCCCCAGTAATTTAGGGTCTTGCACCCCAATCTAGCCAATCACTTAACTTTCAGCAAACCTTTCCCAGGAGTCTGGCTGGTGGGTCTTGCCCACATGCTCAGGGTCTAACTCAGGGGTGGGCAAACTTTTTGGCCTGAGGGCCACATTGGGGTTGCAAAACTGTATGGAGGGCCGGGTAGGGAAGGCTGTGCCTCCCCAAACAGCCTGGCCCCCACTCCCTATCCACCCCTCCCACTTCCCGCCCCCTGACTGCCCCCCTCAGAATCCCCGACCCATCCAACCCCCCCTGCTCCTTGTCCCCTAACCGCTCCCTCCCGGGACTCCCCACCCCTAACCGCCACCTGGGACCTCACCCCCTATCGAACTGCCCTGTTTCCCGTCCCCTGGCTGCCCCCCAGACCTCTAACTACACCTC